CTCAACTTTTGATTGCGCAAGGATCTTAATCTCTCCTCTCAGAAGTACACTTGTGAACCTGAGCCTGTTCCACCTGGAAGACAAAAGACACAGAGTGAATACTGCAAATTCCATCTGGAGAAGGAAAGTTACACTGAACTGAAAAACAAATGTGTACTTTGAGAAGCAGGCAGCAGTCCTTAGCTCCAGATGCCTCCATAGTTCCCGCGCAGCTCTGAAGCGAGAGGCCCTCCACCTACGAAGAGCTTCATCTCAGGCCAGTTGTAGCAGTGGGTGTAGATTGCATAAGGGAGCTCCTCGATGCCAGGGAAGTCGTTCCACCAGCTGTCATCTTGGTTGAGCCAGCCTTTGCCACAGGTGAGTCTGAGCTTCCTGCCTGTGGGCTCAGGAAAGGAGTCTGGGTTGATCACAGATCTCTCCTGCAGGAATTTCTGTGCTCTGATGTCAAAGAAGAACAGGTAGCCATGGCCCGTGCCCATGGTGACAATATGCTGGTAGGAGCTCATCGAGCACACATCAATGCCACCCGCTATGTTACACAGCAGCTGGACCCCAGCATTTGGGCGGCCTTGGCGGATATCCAATAAACAGATATGAGACTGGGTGCCCACCGCATACAGGGAAAAGTCATCGCAGTAGGTCAGACACACATTCTCTTGGTCAAAGGGCAGGCTAAAAGAGTGCAGCGTGGTCACGGTGTTCTGGGCTTTCCACAGGTGGAAGTAGCCATCCAAGCACACTGCTCCCAGTTCCTGCCTCTTGCCACTGAAGGCCAGGGCTTGTACTTTGCAGTTGCCATAGTGGATACTGGCTCCAGGGATGATCACCCTGTCCGTTGGCTGTATGTGGGCATACACTGGAAGCCCCTGCTCACTGTGGCCCTCAGTGCTGCCTCTGAACACGTCAGGATCCACTCCCCATACCGCCAAGGTCCCATCCCAGGAGCCACTCACGACCACAGTGTCACTGATCCAGGCGATGGAGGTGATGGACTTGTTGTGGCCATGGCGGTCACCCAGGCACAAGGGGTCTAGGGAGGGCAGCTGGTAGAGCCCTAGGCTGTTGGGGTTTTCACCCCCAGTGGCCAGCAGCGTCTTGGAGGGATTCAGCTCGATGGCGCGGATGCCAGAGGCAGGCTGCACATAGGCCCGTGTGGGCCTCCTGTCCTGCATCAGGGAGATGGGTGAGATGTGGCCCGTCAGCACGTCCACCACGAAGAGCGTGTTGCACTTGGTGCCGCACACCACCTGCCTGTCATTCAGCCACTGCGAGGCGAACACCTTGTCGACGCTGCCCAGGGGCAGCTGGCGTTCGGTCAGCAGCTCTGGCAGCCTGGCTAAGGCATTGCTCTGCACCTGGTCCCTGAAGGCCCGGAGACTGGGGCGGCCCCGTGCCCCCACCGAGCGGCGCTCCAGATAGCGCACCACGGAGCGGCTCCCCGCAGGCTCCTTCTGCTCTTGGGGCTGCAGGGGCAACCTGTGCGGTGACCCGCTCCCCGCGGTGGCCTGGCCCGCAGAGGCCTCCCTCCCCATCCCGAGACCTACTTGCTGCGGCACCATGACGCGCCTCAGGCCAGGGCCACCAGCCCCGCTGCTGCGGCTGGGTTGATGGCTGCCGGCAGGAGGGCTGGCCATGGAGACAGTGGGGCCGCAGTGCCGGTGGACACGGGGACAGTGGTGTCTCTTCCTCGGCCGGGAGAGCTGCGTCTCAGGGTCCAGGCGACCGGACGCTGGGGGTCACTGGCCAACTGCGTCCTGGGTGCCCTACAGAAAGGAAGCAGAAGCGGCACGTGCAGGTGAGGAAGGCGCTGCTGGGGAGAACAGCGTCCGCGCCTGGGCTGGGCCCTGGTGAGGGCGAAGCTCACCTCGGAGGGCTGGGGAGGAGGTCGGTGGAGAGGTGAGGAGGAAGGTGGAGGACCGGGGAGGTGAGCGCCTCGGTCAGGGCGGCTGTGGGGGGAACCAGCGAAGCAAGAGAGGCGGGGCCTGGGGGAGAGGCGGAGTGAAGGTTCTGGGAGCAGGGGAGGGAGAGAGAGTCCATCGGTTGGGGTCGGGAAGGAAGTCAGTGATTGGACAGACATTAGCCATGGGGTGTGAATCATGGCGGGCAGGGGGCGTGGCTGAGTGCATTTGAGGCAGAGGCATGGGGAGGGATAGAGTCCATTTCATTGGCTGGCTGATGACAGTCAGTTAATGGGGGGTTGGGGGAGTGGCTTATTGTGGGCGAGTGGGGGATGAAATTCCATTGGTTCAGGAGTGGGTCAGAAGTCAGTGATTGGACCGAAGTCCATGAGGGGGTGCGGACCGTGGGCAGGCAGTGGGCGGGGCTAATCGGTGGTGCTTCTGGAGGCAGTGGGCGGGGCAGAAATTCAGAAGTCTGGGTGAGAACCTCACTGGCTGTGGCTGAGTGTAGGTGGGATACAGTGCCAAGGCAAGAAAGTTGGGGGGCTGCGGGAGGGAAGTCAGCGATTGGCAGGAAGTGAGTGACAGTCAGGTTGGGGCCATGAGGTGGGCCCGGGCTGAGTGCAAGCGGGGATCCCGGGAGGGCCAGAAAGTCAGGTGTCTTGGCTGCAGGAGAGAAGTCAGGGATGGGCAGGAAGTCACTCATAAAGGTGTGGGCCCCGTGTGGCCGGCTCTGAGTGTAGCTGGGGATGAGCAGGAGAGCAAGAAAGTAGTTGGCCTGCTGCAGCAGGAGGGACGTCAGGGATTGGCCTTGACAAGGGAGAGGGTGGGGTCGGGCGGAGTTTATGTTGGGGAGCGTAGGGGTGGGAAGAGCACCCATTGGGTTAGGGGCAGAAAGAGGGCAGTGAGGGTCAGAGCAGGTGGAGCACAGTTCAGGGCTGACTGTCTGCAGGGAGCGGTGGGTGGGGAAGCCCGTCCATTGGGATGGCAACGGGAAGGCAGTGAGTGGACAGAAATCAGTGACTGGTGACTGGATCGTGGGGTTGGGGCGGGGCTGAGTACAGGTGGGGAGGAAGTGAGAAGCGCAGGCACGCGGGGCTTTCTGGGTAGAGCACAGGTACCAGAAGGCTGCAGGAGACAGTGGAGGGGGCTGAAAGTGGGAGACCACTGAAAGGGTGCTGGGAGAAATGCATTCACTTCTCCAGCTCCGAACAATAGGCTTCAGAGGCTGGAAGGGCAGCAAAAGTGAAGGCTGTTTCCTCAGACTGCTCTGGGTGCTCATATGATGGACAGGCACATCCAGGGCAGTCACGGCAAGCAATTTTAACTCCTAGCGTGCAGGTCCCTTCCCCTTTTCCCCATGGCCCGGGAGTGGGGGCCCTGATTTCCCCTACGTGATGCGTAATTAAGCAGTCCTGCAGCCCCCTCCCATTTGAGTTTGGATTTCTTCATCACGTTGTCTATGCTTCCCTTTGGGACTTCTGGAGAAGCCGATTTTCCTGTTGACGATTCTGTGCATATCACCCTGCAGTTCCACCGTTCCATCGTTGCTACCTAGCCCTAGCTAAAAGATATGCTGCCCCCCATCATGCCTACGTTGTACAGAGGCTTCCTTTCTAGTTTATTTCTTCCCAAGCCCCCTTTCCTTAGAGGCCCTCTAAATGCATGAACTTTCTCTGCCAGTAATTTTCCCCTCGGAGTTAACCATTTCATCTTGCAAATGCAGCACTTTAGCTTTCTCTTTCTTACAGGTGGCAGCTGCTGGAAGAGATTCCCAGAGGGCCGTGCCTCGCGACCTCCAATGTCCAACACTTTGTGTTTCTCTACCTCCCTACAGCAGCCAACCAGCTCTCAAATAAAACGCGAGTGAAATACATCGTCAAGCAAGCAGCTAAAAGGAGCCTTATCCACGATCTCTGTGTGGAAAGAACCACTCTGTGCACTTGGGCTCATGCTGGGAGAACCGTGACTAAGATCAGACATGGAACTTGGCAGGGAATGGCGGGGTGAAAGTGGCAGGGAGACCCCCTCCCCGCCCGTTCCTTTCTGCGGTCCCTCTAGTACTGATAGTACAGCGGGGGCTGGGGATCTGCTCCCCTCCCCCCACTTGAGTTTGGGCAACACCTCTGGGCCAGGCCTGCTTCCATTGTTCTGAGAGAGGCAGAAAATAAGATAGCAAAGGCCAAAGCCATCTCTGAGACTGGGCCAGGGCACAAATCCGTTAGATCTCCTGGCCTGATCGTCAGTAACCTCTTCCCCACTCTAACCTCGTTGAAGTCTTGTAAATACGGACACCCAATGTAATCGGAGTGAACTGTGGGGCATGCGTGCTGCTTGAGAGCCCCCCACTCAGGATGGCTCAGCACCCTGTCAAGCGTTCCTGTCAATCTTAGGTGGACACCCAGCGAGAGCAACCGGGCTGGGGGCACCGCCCTTAAACTCCAAATGCCTGCTTTATCTGTGTGTTTTCTTCTTTCCTGTCGTCCTG